ATTTTACAGAATGGAAAGAACAACCACTTATCTAAATTTTATCAGGTGATGGTCTGTTTTGCAATGTTATTGGTAAAAAAGGCATGAGCTCGTGCTAGACTATATGTAGTTGAGGAGTTAGAAAGGATTCTGTCTAGTCTGTGAAGACAAATAGTATGAGACCAGTAGAAACGAGGGAGGGTATCAGCCAGAGGCAGAGAGAGAAGACAAGAAGAAAAATTTAGAGGATCACTTTTAAATCAGATGGGAGGTTCCCTACCAATTAAACGGTGGTCACTCTAAGGACTGACTACAGTCCATCTATCAGTCCTTAAACTTTACCAACCTGCTTTGTTTTCATCAGCTTCGGAAACAGAGCAGCAGTCAGCAAACTACAGCGGACTGGGCCAGATCCAGCCTAATGCCTGTTTTGCTAATAAAGTTTTATTGAGACACACCCATGCCCATTTGTCTATGTATTGCCTGTGGCTTCTTTCTGTCTTCAGTGGCAGAGGTGAACAGTAACCAACAGTTAAGTCTTCTATCCTTTAAGTTTCCAGTTCAGGTTTGATTTGTAATATAGTATTTCATAGTTCATGTGAAAAGAACTATTGATTGCAGTCTCAGTTCATCAGCATTTATTATGTGAAATCTACCCATAACTTACATGAAGCAATTGACAGAAAAAGGCTATACTCTTCTTTCTATGTTGTTGTACGCGTTGTCCTAAATGTTCGGTGGTCCTATGTGTCTGACCATTTCCCTGTCCATGTCCCAGGTTGACTTAGCTCCTCCATTCTGCCCATTACAGTATTTTCTCTCACCGAGTGTTGTTACATGAGAAATCTCCATCTAGAGGTAAAAATTGGGAGATGCTTAGAAGGAATAGGAAGGAGGCTGCAGGAGTTAAAGCTTAACTTTTTCTTCATAAGCACAAGTGAGCAATGTCTGTCCTCCTCCATGAGCACAAGGGAGGAAAGAACAGAGCTTTGTAAAGACCAAATTGTGTCAGACCAATTTAATTTCCTCCTATGATAGAGTGACGGTCGAAGATGATAAAGAAGGAGAAATAGATAATATCTGTATGGGCTCTAGAAAGGCTTTTGATTTCATCCAACATGACATCCTCATCAATAAACTAGAAAGGTCTGGTCCAGATCATGCTGCAGTTGGGCGAAAGCCCCTCTTGACAGAAAGGCTTTGCAGCAAGTGGGAGCTGTATGTCCTTCTGGATTCAGCGCTGCCCCCGCCTTGGCATTCTGTTTGGAGGGGTACCATACTTGATAGGATGCCACCCAGAATACTTGTGAAAACCAGACGATAAGTCAAAGTGGGGATAAGGGTATATCCTTAAAAGGGTTGGAACCATACCCAAGAAAAAGGAAGGTTAAATTCGTTCAACATACAGCATGAGAACACTTGGGCTGGAGAAGGAAAAGAAATGCCATCGCCACCCTTTCAGGACACGTGAGGATCTAGACTCCCCGAATTCTAGAGCTAAAGGGACCTTTCACGTCCAACTGCCCACCTTCCTCATTTTGCAGAAGGCAGCCAACCTGAGAGAGGAAGTGAGTGCTAGAGGCTACACAGCTGGTTAGCTGTAGGACTGAGACTAGAATGGCTGATCCGTGTCCTTTTTACTTCAACCTGCACTGTTGGCTGATACACACACACACACACACACACACACACACACACGTGGGTTCTTAGGGCATTTTTTATACTTCCTATCGCTCACCCATTTCAAACCTACAGTTCTATGATTTTTTGAGTAAATGTGCAAAAGTTGTGCAACCATCCCCATAAATCAGCTTGAGAACATTTCCAGCACCCCACGGAATGCCCTGGTGGCATTAAGGCTTAGATTCTGCCTCCAGCTTTCTCCCAGCCCTCGGCAACCACAGCAGGGTTGTAAGTCCTTTAGTGTGATTCGAGACCTGGTTTAGAAGAGACACTTTTGGTCTCTGTGGATTTGCCTTTTCCAGACGTTTCATGTAACGGAATCGTACAGTAGATGGTCTCTTGTGTCTGGATTCGGACTACTTTGCCTAAAGTTTTTGCCATTCACCCATGCTGTAGCATGTATAGGTGATCTGTCCTCTTTGCTTGCCAAAAAGTACTCTGTTATATGGACACGTTGTATTTTTTTTTAAGATTTTATTTATTTATTTGACAGAGGAAGAGATCACAAGGAGGCAGAGAAGCAGAGCAGAGAGAAAGGGGGGGGAAGCAGGCTCCCTGCTGAGCAGAGAGCCCAATGCGGGGCTCGATCCCAGGATGCTGGGATCATGACCTGAGCCGAAGGCAGAGGCTTTAACCCACTGAGCCACTCAGGTGCCCCGACATGTTGTGTTTTATTTATGCACCAGTTGGTGGACATTCAGGTTGTTTCTACCTTGAGGCCATTATGAGGAATGTGGCTACTAGAGTTCATATTTCTCTCTTTACTTTTTTATATTCAGTAACTTTCCCCCTTCACATCCATCAGATGCGTCCTCCTCCCCTACTCTTTTTCCATCCCGATCTGGACAGTAGAGTTCCCCCAGATGGCAACCCAAGATGTTATTAATGTTTTAATAAATAGCCTCGGGGGATTCAATGGTCCAGAGAAGAAAAGGTTTGTTAATCTAATAAGAGTCTTTTATTCCAAGATGGCTTATGAGAAACTATTAGCCAAATGCCCTCCATCGTCATAGGAAATAAGTGAGAGGAATCGGATTTAAACCTCAGGGAAAACCACTTCAGCTGGGCACGAGGAGGCTTGTTTTATGTGGCAGTGGTTGCTATCAAGTTAATTTGCAATATTATAAAAACAAAGCCCATGTAATGTCCTCCGAGAGAAGCTCCTGTGAATGGGTTTACATCTCTCTGAGGCCAGATGGCCCTGTGATCCCCTAAAAGGAGGACAGTCCTCTTGGGGCGCTTTCTTCCGTGTGGTAAAGGAAGACATTTGGCCTTTGGTGTTCACAGAGGCCATTTCATTGTGCCCAGGAGACCAGTTATTGGAGTCATTGTGGTATAAAACCAGTGGTTGGAGAGTTTTACACAAACCACAGGGTGTGGTGGAAGGAGACATTGCTCCCGTGCCCTGAACAGAGCAAGGTCTCCCAGCTGCTGCTCTCTCCCTAACGATAGCTACTACAAGGGTGGTTGTTCAGTTCTAGAAATTGTAGAGCTTACAGTGTAATTTCCCATCTTCTCTCCTTTTGACTTCACATTCAAGCCTGGAGAGTTCCCACTGAGAGACCGTCCATCACGCGGCCGTTAGTTCAAAGCCCTTTCCAGCCCAAGTCCATTCTGCGGATCTGCCTCTCTCTGCTGTTGAGCCCAGAATGGACCATCATCACGTTTCACTGTTTCTTAAAGACCACACATCCTTTAGCTCCTCTGCATTTTTGCGGTGCTCTCCCTTCACATCCCTTGTCTGTTCAGAGAGCTCTGGCTTGGCCGTAGTCAGGCCTGCGCGTTATCTCTTGTGTAGGTCAGTGTTCTCCTTGGCAGAGTTCATCACTCCCTTTTTGGGTACCCACAGTCCTGGATAATAGAGCGCACCACTTTTCCTCAGTAGCTCACCTTCCCTGAGTCTTTCTTTCCTTATCACAAATTCTTTGTCTTTCAGAGGAATTCTGTGAAACTTGAATACCAAAAAATACTATATACAAATGTAATAGTTTGGTATTAATAATAGAAATGTGGGAGACTCCTGGGTCGCTCAGTCAGTTAAGTGTCTGCCTTTGGCTTAGGTCGTGATCCCAGAGTCCTGGGATCGAGTCCCATATCAGGCTCCTTGCTCAGTGGGGAGCCTGCTTCTCCCTCTGCCCACTGCTCCCCCTGCTTATGTGCTCTCTTTTTTCCCTCTCTCTCTGACAAGTGGGTGGATAAAATCTTTTTAAAAAACAGTAGAAATGTGAATATAGATATCAGGTTATAATTACAACTAGTTTTTGGTGGGTGTTCCCAATCCTTGAGCACAGCAACCCTAATGTATTTGCCTTCATCTCCTAAACACTGAATCCAAGTCCTCATTCTTAACAAATGAGATTGAATTATTGTGAAGTAGGCATAATGAGATATTACCACCTCATACCCATTAGGATGGCCAGTCAGGAAGGGAGGAAGGAAGGGAGGGAGGGGTGAGAGGAAGGAAGGAAGGATGGAAGGAAGGAAGGGCTGTTGACTGGGCTGTAGAGAAATTGGAACCCCTGTGCACTATTCGGAGGAATATAAAATAGTGTATCTACTATTGAAAACAGTATGGTGGTTCTTCAAAAACTTAAAAAACCAAATCACTCTATATGATCTGAGAGTTCTGGGAGAAGCAACCCAAGCATCCACCAATAGACAAGTGGATAAACCAAATGTTTCTTATACACACAGTGGAATATTATTTAGCTCTGAAAAAGGAAATAAATCCCAACACCTGCTATAACATGGATGGACCCAGAACACATTACGTTAGGTGAAAGAAGCCCGTCATGAAGGGACAAATCCTATGTGGTTCCACTGATGTGAGGTCCCTAGAGCAGTCAGACTCATAGAGTCAGAAAGTAGGACGGGGGCTGCCAGGGCCTAGCGGGAGGAGGGAAGGGGGAGTTCCTGTTTAATGGGGACAGAGCTTCAGTTTGGGAAGATGAAAAAGTTTCTGGGATGAACAGTGGTGATGGTTGCACAATGATATGATGTACCTAATGCCACTCAACTGACCTCTTAGAGTTATGACGGTAAATTCCATGTTACATGTACTTCACCACAGTTTCTAGACATTTTATTTATTTATTTATTTATAAAATTTATTTATTTATTTATTTGACAGACAGAGATCACAAGCAGGCAGAGAGGCAGGCAGAGAGAGAGAGAGGAGGAAGCAGGCTCCCCGCTGAGCAGAGAGCCCAATGCGGGGCTCGATCCCAAGACCCTGGGATCATGACCTGAGCCGAAGGCAGAGGCTTGAACCCACTGAGCCACCCAGGCGCCCCTGTTTCTAGACATTTAAATTCAAAACATTTAAATTTTTAAAAACAAGACGCAAAGAAGTCTCTCCTGGTTGGTTCTGTTTGTTCAGGGCACGGCAATCAGTTGATGGTGTTCGATGTTGAGATAATGGTTACCCTGGGGAGGGAAGAGTAACTAGAAAGCAGGAGGTGGTTCTAGGGCATGGCCTTATTCTATCTTTTGATCTGGCCGTTATCACATAGGTGTATATGGTGTGTGAACTTCTCCGAGCTCTCCAGTTGTGACTTGTAAGGTTTTCTATGTGTCTGTTATACTCCAAAAATAATTCCAGAAATGGAGATCCTTAGGGCCACAGCAGACTATAGAGTCAGACTCTGTGAGGATGGGATCAGGGGACCCTGCATCTTAAAACCTTCCCTTCCAGGTTTTTCTTAAGAGCATTGGATTTGGGGAATCTTCACTAAAAGAAAGGGGTCGAAGAAACAGCCTCCAATGCCCAAGAATCCCATTCTGCACTAACAATAAATATTCCTTAGAAAAGAAATTCTTGATATCTTGGAGTCACTTAGCTTCCCCGGTTAGGAAAACACCTATCATCTTTCAGGTGCTGAGAAATCAGTGATGTAGAGAAAGGTGTGAATGTGTATTTTAATATATTACATTTAAAAATAGTATTTCTTATAATTCGTCATAAGCACAATGACTCATGAATATTTTGAGGCCCTCTAAAAACAGGCAGGTGCTAGGACCTAATGGAAGTCAGGCTTTCAGTAGGAGGGGAGACAGCACTATGGGGCGTGGTCCCCTGGAAGCAGGTACAGAAAAGCCAGTTCTTCCACCTGGAAACTAATGAGACTCCATTTCTACTCTCTCCACACCACCTCCGAGACACTAGCAGCTTTCACACTTGCTTGTCAAACCAAAAGCATGTTTCTTGCAAAGGCTTTATTGGAAGGGGCCGATCGAGGTCTTGGAGAAGCTCTTGGAGGCCTTCTTAGAGGAGGCGGTCAGAGAAGAGGAGGAGGAGGAGGAGGAGGAGGAAATCTCGGAGGGATAGTTGGAGGAATCGTGAATTTCATCAGCGAGGCCGCGGCAGCTCAGTACACCCCAGAACCGCCTCCCACTCAGCAGCATTTCACGACCGTGGAGGCCAATGAAAGTGAGGAAGTTCGTCGGTTTCGACGGCAGTTTGCCCAGCTGGCGGGACCGGACATGGAGGTGGGTGCCACCGACCTAATGAATATTCTCAACAAAGTCCTTTCCAAGCACAAGGACCTGAAGACCGACGGCTTTAGCCTTGACACCTGCCGGAGCATCGTGTCCGTGATGGACAGTGACACGACCGGCAAGCTGGGCTTCGAAGAATTTAAGTACCTCTGGAACAACATCAAGAAGTGGCAGTGTGTTTATAGGCAGTATGACAGGGACCACTCTGGGTTCCTGAGAAGTTCCCAGCTGCGCGAGGCCCTGCAGGCAGCGGGTTTCCAGCTAAACGAGCAGCTTTACCAAATGATCATCCGCCGCTATGCTGATGAGGACGGCAGCATGGATTTCAACAACTTCATCAGCTGTCTGGTCCGCCTGGATGCCATGTTCCGCGCCTTCAGATCCCTGGATAGGGATGCAGACGGTCTGATTCAGGTGTCCCTCCAAGACTGGCTGCAACTGACCATGTATTCCTGAAGCCAGCCCCTCCCCGAGGACGGGACTCCTGACAGCCTCGCCTTCCCGTCCCCATGGCGGCTGATACCCTGTCCCAGAGCTGTCATTTTCTGCGAGCTCATATATCTCCCTGCATGCTTCTGAACTGGGACTGCCCTTTGGTGCTCAATTAAAACAGATTTTTTTTTTTTTAATGAGAAATGTTCTGAGTGGTTTGTATGTCAGCTCTTTGAGATACTGGATGTGTAGGGATGTATGTATGGGATCGGGGGGCGTGGGGCAGAGCCCCCTTGGAATAGATTTTAATAGGGCATTGCTTATTTGGTGAGTGAATTTCAAGGAGCAGGAAACTTGTTGTCATTGAGAATGAAGTCTTGAAAAAAGAAAACCCTGGAGTAAATCAAGAAAGCCCTCAAGAGATCTATTTTTCCCTTTAAAAAAGGTGAGGAGGAGGGAAGTTCAGAATCTGTTTTTCTCTTAATTTCACATCTGGTCTTTCCATTACGAAAAAAAGAGAGAGAAAAAAAGAGAAAGAAAAAGTATTTTCCTGGAAGCCTATTTAACTGTATAGAAACAGGTTCAGAAAGGAGAAAAGAAGCAATTTCACGTAAGGGAAGTATATATAAGTTTTTAACAATGGAGTGACTGTCTGAAATTCCAGAATTCTTTAGTCCTGTTTCTCTAGTAAAATAAGCATGCAGCAAATTTGTTTTGTTTTGATGTATTTGTAAAGAGGGTCAGGGCATTGGGGAATGAAGGATGGACCCGTAGCCCAATACGTCAGTCTCAATCATTCTTCACATGCTTCATACAAAATCAGGCTTGCCCAACGCATGTTGGCTGGCTCTTGTCGTGTCTTGCCCTGCCTCAGAGCTAGGAATGTTTTGTTGTGTTGTTCCTCTTGCGAAACTGTGGACAGAAGAAACATAAGCAAAGGAGCAAAAAAAGTGTTGGGGGGGAGCATAGAGTGATCAGTTATTTGTTATATAAAGGAATATAGAGATATATAAAGATGTTTAAGTACTGCTGAGTGTCACAGGGGTTCTCAGTCCGGACCGTGATTCAGAGGGAGAGCTCTTTAGGAATACTGACGGCTGACTCCCACTCCGGATGCGTTGAAGAACAATCTTTCGAGGTGGGGCCTGGAGACGAGTATTTTTAAAGCTCCCCGGGTGATTCCAGTAAGCAGCCAAGGTCACCAGCCTGGGCAGTCGTCCCTTGCTTGTGTATGTATGGCCCTTGGTTTGGCTCTGTCATTTTGATTCAGGCAGTGATGATGGGGTGGGCAGAATCCAGAATGTCCAGCTAGGCCAGTAGACTGAAAGACTGAACCACGGGGGCTGTGTATGCAAGGACTCAGTAACCCTCCCTCCCCCCAGCCCCACCCCTGCCCTGCTATTTAATTTGTTCCCACCACTCAGGCTTCTCTGGCTCTCAGTGCCCTCCCTCTCTCTCCAAAGGCTAGCTTAGAGGATTCCTCCTTAGTTTGAAGATCAATTCTTCCTTCCTCTTTTGACCCATTTCGAGGAAAGTTTAACTCTGGAACTGATGTCACTCTTCTGTTAACAGTCTGCAGCGGCAGGAGAAATCCCCAGGGTCAGTTAGGAGAGGTTGGCTTTCGGCCTCTGCACTCACCATCGTCACCATCGTCACTATCATGGGACATTTATACAACACTACGTGCGTATACTTCTGTGCGGAGTCAGGCCCAGAGACCACACCTGCCTTCCGCAAGAGACCTGTATGTGTAAGCTCACTCCGCTGGGCTGCCTGGCCACCTATGCTCATATCAGAAGGAGGCTGCTACCAACAACCACACACGTTAATTTCAGGATCCCCATGTTAGAATCAACCCATTTATATGTCAGGTGCTAGCGTAGGCATCTAGCCAAGAAAGGGGAGAGCTGCCAAGGTGCCTTTTAAGGCCTCAGAATATTGGGTTTATTATTTAACCTTTCCACATGATGGCTGCAGAAAGGGCAACCGAGCCTTACCCTGGTGGTCCTCAGTTATTTCTAAATATTTTATGAAAGTTAAGGCGGTTGCGTCGTGCTAGGGGTGGTGGTAAGTATTTTTCTTGCTCCTCGGGTCAAGGGATTATCTGCTCTTACGATTCCCTTCTTGCCCGCCCAGGGCAAAACATACTGAAGTCACCTCCATGTCCCTTCTGTTCTCTTCTGGATTTGTATAACGTTTGTACGGATCACCCCAGACATTAGAGAAAATGCTAGAAAATCCAGTCAAACTCCGGACTTTGTCAAGTACTCAAAACTTTGGCATTGCGTAGAACCAAGAGCCTGACGAGTGATTGAACTTCTTAGTTTTTATCCAGTAGTTGACATTTTCAAGGCACATTTTCAGTTTAAGGGGGAAGAGTATTTACCTGATGATTTTTTTTTTAATTTTGCCATTTCTACATGGAAGCCTCCTTATAGGCTGAGACAAGGGTCTTTGATTCATATCATTCCATCCCATGATCTTTCAATTTCTAACATGAAGCAATACCATCGATGTAGTAAGTTGAAAATAATACTCAGCAATTTTAAAAAGCATGTGAAGGGGAGCCTAGGTGGGCTCAGTGGGTTAAAGCCTCTGCCTTCGGCTCAGGTCATGATCCCAGGGTCCTGGGATCAAGCCCCACATCAGGCTCTCTGCTCAGCAGGGAGCCTGCTTCCTCCTTTCTCTCTCTCTGCCTGCCTCTCTGCCTACTTGTGATCTCTGTCTGCCAAATAAATAAAATCTTTAAAAAAAAAAAAGCATGTGAAGTTGCACAGTCTCCATCTTTTAAATTTCAAAATACCCCATATGATTTCGAAAAACACCTTAATCTTAATGTGATCCACAGGACTCTGTAACCTGTAACAGCAGGAAAAAGAACGTAGGTCTGTACTTAACGCATGTATGCTGTGTACCTAAGAAAAGCAGACCTCCGAGAATATTCGAAATGTATACATCATCTTAAAGGTCACATTTTAAATGTCTTGAGTAGTGGTGCATGTGTTTTTAAGAACTGTTTTTTTTTTGTTTTTTTTTTTTAAACCAGAGATTTCATCAGTAATATTGCACAGCTAACCCATGCTGGGTCCTTGAAAAAATATTCACGGATACACCTGCAGGGCCCTGGTATTTAACACGTCTCTTGATCTTGAGGTGCTTTCAGAATTACTTCTTAAAAGTGTCTGTGTTTAATGCTAAGTGGATTAAAGCAATTTAATTCTGAGAAAATTGGTAATGCAATTATGTATGTGGGTGGAAATACGCTCTTAATAAGCGTATTTGAGTAAACAGAATACCTCTTCCCAGACTCCTCTGGAAGACTGAGAATTTACTGGATTTTGATAATAGTACTCTTTTGGATTTGTAGTCATCTTCAAAGACTCAAAGTCTTTTTCTGTTGGCTGCTGCATAATAGCTTCTGTTTTTAGGCGAACATCCCTGAATTGTTTTGATGGCATTGATTTTCTCTCCTTTGCAGGGATGATATCAATTATAACACACCAAAGACAATATAGATCTTATCCTTGGGAGTTTACCATCTCTCAGTACGTTCAAAACTGCATCCTTACATGTTGCTGGACTTGGAAGGTTGTAAAATATATCCAGTTCAGTAAGATTGAAAATGTTGACTAAATCCAAATAGGAAAGGCCTCAAGGAATGGTTACCTGAGAATCAAACACAGGAACACCACTATTTGTTCCTTCTGGACTTTTAAATGGATCATGTCTGGACACGTGGTCTGCCTTCCCACTGGTCCGAGAAGCCAGCGTCGTGTGGTTATGGGGATAGCATGGTGCGGGGGCACTGGGAGATCACGGTGACCCCCAACTTTCACGTCCGTGCTTTTCTGATCTGCTGACCACCAGGGAAGGGGTGGGCCCCACCATCTAGAGTTCCAGCCAGGCTCAGTCATCCTTTCTCTTCGCAGTGACCCAAAACAAATCCGTAGTTGCTACTCAGGGCTGTCCTGGCTTCCAGATTAGGACAGATAATGGAGGGATTAGAGTCTCCTTCCAGAAAGCTGGGCTCCTCCTTTGAAATGTGGCCCTGCAATATTTTCAAGTCTAGATTTTTTTTTTAAGTTTATGACTCTTCCTGAAAAGTTTAGTAGGTTTTTAAAGAAAAGAACCACAGATCTGAAGGATAATTTTTATCATGGAACGGATTTGAAATAAAAAAATTAAAGGAGTGTGTTTTGTTGTCTACTTTTAAATTATCTGTTTTTGAATGGATTTTATTAAGCTACTTGCTTTAATTTGAATGATTTAGAGTCCAATTATCTAAATTTTCATTGGCGTTCATGGTAATAGCAAGTTTCGTGACCTCAAATAAAGCTTATGACTCATTCTTTTTATTTAAAGTCAATTAATTAACATATAGTGTACTATTAGTTTCAGGGGGAAAGTTTAGTCATCAGTAACATATAAGACCCAGTGCTCATTCTATCACGTGCCCTCCTTAATGCTCATCACCCAGTTACCCCCTCGCCCTCCCACCCAACCCCCATCAACCCTCAGTTTATTGTCTATAGTTGAGTCTTTTATGGTTTGTCCCCCTCTCTCATTTCATCTTACTTTATTTTTCCTTCCCTTCCTGTATGTTCATCTGTTTTGTTTCTTAAAGTCCATATACGAGTAAAATCACACAGTATTTGTCTTTCTCTGGCTGACATATTTCGTTTAGCATAGTACCCTCTAGTTCCATCCACATCGTTGCAAATGGTAAGATTTCGTTTTTTGGATGGCTGAGTAATATTCCATTGTGTATGTGTATGTATGTATATATCCAGTAATATTCCATTGTGTGGTACATATATAAATGTATACACACACACAACATCTTCTTTACCCATTAATCTGTTGATGGACATCTGGGCTCTTCCCATAGTTTGTGGACATCGCTGCTATAAACATTGGGGCGCAGGTGCCCCTTCAGATCACTACGTTTGTATCCTTTGGATTAATACCTAGCAGTGCAATTGCTGGACCATAGGGCTCTCATTTTTTTTTTATTAGTTAAAATGAATTAGTTGAATGGATTATTTCTAAGATTCCTTCCAGTTCAAAGTTTTATTATTCTGAACTGGGGAACTTAACAGTAAATTATTGTATTGATCTGATAATAAAATACCTGAGAATAATTTCCATGCTGCTTTTTCCCCTTCCCATTACTAAGATGAAAACTTACCTATAAGTTCCCATGG